ATTAATATATTACATAACTTAAAACAAAAGCTATTGTCAAGTTTACCAAAATGATTTTTTAATGGAGTTAATTCTAATGCAAACCACAAAATAAAGTCACCTGGTTTTGAAAGAGAGAGATATAAACACATTTATGGCTCAACTGAGAGGACCTTTGTCATGACAGTCTTTTAAAAGATATTTTCTTAAATAAGAAGGTGGTCAGAAATTCAGTACTGGAGTGCAGAATCATGGACATGGAAATTTTGACATCTTTTAAGAAGACATGTAATGGAGGACTTTCAACAATACATAGCTGTCTCCCTTATTCAGCAGACTTACACAAGTCCGTATAATCTTTGTGACTCTTAGCCTGGCAGGCAAGATATTGATGCTCTTCTTACTTGGACATATAGATACTATAGTTCTCTGTGAGTACAAGGATAAAATAGATTTTATTTATTGAAAATCCAGCAAAAAGAACTATTATACCAAGAACTGGAATTTTGCAGCATCAGTCTTTAAGAGAATGCCATTGTTTTATGATGTATAGCTTCTATCTAAGAAACTAATAAAAGTATTGCTGGTCTTTCATTTAAATTCACACCAACATAAAGGGGCCCAGAGGGCAACTCATAAAGTTAAAAGGCTTCAGGACTTCCCTTTTACAACCCCCCCCCAAAAAAAACACATTTCCTTACATACTGAACTTCAGATCCAACCTCACAAAAATACTAGAAAAAATATATAGACACCACCACTGCCTTGAAGTATTAAAACATGCTAGTTAGTGACTCACAGATTAATGGCTTTCACTTGTGTAACAGATCATTCAAACCACATTCAAAAATCCTCCCCAAACTGAAAGGCTGCAATTTGGTGCAACTTCACAAGCGCATAGCACAAAACTGCTGACAAAAATATAGCTAACATAAAATCAGAAAGCTGGATAGGGATGCAGGGTATCATTTATTTCAAGGGTGGGGAATCTGAGGCCCTCCAGATGCTGTTGAAATGCAACTCCTAGATACCCTCACTATTAGTCATGTTAGCTGGAGCTGCCAAGAGTTCTAATTCAGAAACATCTGGTAAGCCAGATCCTACACTTCTTATAGGCCGAGAAATCATTCAGTGTACAATATGTGTTGATTACAATTATTTGGAATAGGTAGTATCAACACTTGTCAATAAAACCATAGCAAAATACACACAGAGAGAAAGAGAAACTAATGATTGTCCTTCTCATAAGGAAGATGACTCTATGATGTGAACAGAGAATCTATCTGGAGGTTCTAAGGCAGGAAGTGATTGCTCTCCTCTCTTTATGGTCCTCCTCAGAGATCAAATGCTCATAATTGGGGATGTACAATATTTGGAGGGGAAAGTATCATGGAAAAGAGTTGTGGTGGCCCAGTGGTTAGAGTGCAAGTACTGCAGGCTAATTCTGCTGACTGCCAGCAGTTCTATTCTCACAGACTCAAGGTTGATTCAGCCTTCCATCCTTCCGAGGTCAGTAAAATGAGAACCCAGACTGTTGGGGGCAATATGCTGACTCTGTAAATCGCTTAAAGCACTGTGAAGCGGTATATGATTCTAAGTGCTATTGCTACTTTGAATGTAGCATCTCTCTGCATCTACTTAAAGCATTTCCATCTTTGTCTGGGATCATAGGGCTATAAACATGGAACAAAATGCATTCAGTTTAAGGAATGGCAGATAGCCACAAAAAGTAGAATATAGGTAAACCTCAGGTTATGATAGTAATCAGTAATTTCATGATGGCTCTCCATAATTGATTTCCAGCACAATGGTGGAATACAAATCATGCAAATACTGTACTACCAAGAATGTTTAGGATGTAGTTCCTGATCAAATTAACTACAGCTTTTACTTGAAAATGTTAACCTAATAAAGTTGTGTTTCAAGGGCAAAATGATGATTTTCACACTGTTCATAAATTGATAGCAACTCTCAAGGATACAAAAATTATTCCCTTCCTTAACCTCTAAAACAAAGCTAGCCTTCCATTTTGTCAGTAATATTATCATTATACATGTACTATTACTTACAACGATTAAAGCTACTCATGTTTGCTTTAAGGTAACATGAAGCATAAAAGGATATATAAATTGTATGTCTTTGCTGACTTATATACAGAAATTCCAATGCATGATTTGATCAATGATGGGCATAAATCATTAAGGTTCCAATTAGTATTTTTCTAACAGAATAATTATGCTCCTAATAACGTGAATAAAAAATAAGAATAGTCTTTAAGAATAGTGGAATGGTGCCTGTGCAGCCTCTCTGTGATCCTAGAGGGCCCTCTAGCTTTCAGAGGAATTCTGCAAGATGAAATGACACTGAAGATGCCCACAGCACCACAGAAGGAAGACAAAAAGCAAATCTAATCAAGGACAGGTAAAAGCCTTTATTAAACCTTACCATGTGTCAATAAGAATGGCAAAACAGGCTATTTCTTCATCTTATCATTCTCATAGCTGGCATCCAGCAACTCTGTATTGGGTGACTATGTCTCTTCTTGGTAGAGAGAGACTGGGGAAACCCTTGCAGGAACACTAGCTGGACTACTGTAAGCAAGTTAATCAGATCCAGACTGGCTGATCAGTTAAAACTGGGCTGGCTGTGTGAGTCTTAGTAACTGATTTGAGGCATGGTCTTGTTCGGTTATTGATAAGAGTTTCACCTGATTGATCCTGAGGAAGTGGGCAGCATTATTGGGACTGTGATTTCTGCCACCTGTGCTTTAGATCCATATCTCTCCTAGCTGGTGAAGGCCTCTTGGGAAGTGATGCATGCTTGGATACAAGATATGGTGAACTCCTCTTTGCAGGAGAAGATATTTGCATTTAAAGAGGGAGCTGTCTGTCCCCTTCCTAAGAGGTTGTCCTTGGATCCAACTGTTCAGAATGATTTCTTTCCAATCTCCATCCTTCTCTTTTTAGAGTGGTTGTTTCACAACTTCAAAGGGCCCTGAAAAAAGCTGATTTTCTGGACTCTTTCTAGTCAAACGTCAGGGAGTTCAAGTATTCATTCTATGTATTCCAAGACTGATAAAATATAGATATTATAAACACAAACAAAAGCTATTCTTCTTTCTCAGATAAATATGAGTATAGTCTTAAACTTGGAGCTGAAAATGAATTCTGGGGCTATTAGCTTTCTCTTGGATAGATATCTGCAATATGTCTGCATTCCTACATTGGAAAATATATTTGTGCTATTTTATATATCAAACAGATCTCAGTGCATTTTGTCCTAGGAGAATCAACCCTTCTTTCTCCATGAACCTTTTCTGCAGCTCATATGTATATTTATTGTGAAACTTTTTAAAGAAACTAAATTTGAAATCTTAAAACAGAGCCAGCACAGAAATAAATGTTACCAAAAAAAATATTTAATTTTTTCCAGTTTCATTTTGTAAATCAATCTTATAGTCAATATCAAAAAAGAGTTTGCTGATTTACACTACCCCTATAATTATGAAGTTTAAATATAAAATAACCAAATGATAAGTAGCAAATTTGTCATCAAACTAGAACTACAGCACCATCTTGTGGTGATCAGTTTATTATAGAATTAGAAATTCCAGTAAAATATACTGTATTACCTTTTCATAATAAGAATTAATACTTTTTGTCAGTTAAGTAAGGATTCTATTTAAGCTTCATTGCACCAGCAAAAGAAATAGCATGCTGATTTCAACATAATATTGCTATTGTTGTGGGGAAAATAGGAGGAAGGATGTTCACCTCCTTGAGTTGTTTATAAAAATAATAAAGGTAGGAAATGAATGAATGAGTGAGTGGGTGAATGAGTGAGTGAGTGAGTAAGTAAATATCACAAAGGGAAAAATGGTGGGATTGAAGTTGTTCTGGAATAGAGAAATAAAACCTGCAACAAATGTTACACTCTATTTTCACATTAGTTAAAGTGCTCCCATTCTGTACAAGTAGTCCTCAACTTACAATCATTCAATTGGAAGTTACAGTAACAATGAAAAAAATAATGACTTACAACTGGTCTTCACACTTATGACCATGTAAACGCCCCCACGGTTACATGATCAAAATTCAGATGCTTGGCAGCTAGCATATATTTATGATGGCTGTAGAGTCCCAGGGTCATGTGATTGCCATTTGGGACCTCCTCAGCCAGCTTTTAACAAGCAAAGCCAATGGGCAAAGCTAGATTTACTTAATGACCATGTGACTCACTTAACAACTGCAGTGATTCTGTTAACAAAAAAGGTCATACGATTATATGCAACTCATCCAACAACTGCCTCACAGTCAACAGAAATTCCCATCACAATTGTGGCCATAAGTAAGAATTATCTGCATTTCAGATAGCTATTCCTTCTAGGATATAGCCTTTCCTTCCATTCCCAATTTATAAAATTAACCTTGAACTTTTTGTGGCTTTGGTGCCTGTGTTATTTTCCAATGCATTATTTTGATGCAATAATTTATGCCCTTCAGATTTTTTTGATATCTTATGTGCATGGGTTGGAGTAGGCAGCTTTCTCTTTCCCAATAGTCTGTTTTAAGTATTTAGCTGTTGACAATTATTTCTTCAGTTAAATATCAGAGGAAAGAGTCTATTCTTATTAAAGATCATTCTTGCTCATAGAATTCTGTAATGGCAGTTTAGGTTTTACTTATCATGCATTGATAAAATGTATAAACCAGGTTAGCATTTGAAGGATCTGAATGGCAAAATGAAAAATAATCATTTATAAAGCAAGCGACAATTACAAACTGTGTAGCAAATATGGTTCTTATACATTGGGGGGGGGGCAAACTCTAGTTCATCAATTCATTCATGAAATTTTAGATTCTTCCCGAATCCGCAAATATTATATGAAAAAAATCCTACTTTAATAGTAGTACAAATGATAACATCCACCTTTGAAGGTTAATACTGATCATTTTGGAAAACTTTTTTTTTTTATAGAGAAGGCATTAATCAACCACATCGAGACTGTACAATTGACCTACTGAAACATTTTTATTCGCGGTCCTCTGTTCCTACGACCGGTCCCTCCTCTTCTCTTTCAATTTCCCCCGCTCTCCTTTTTGAAGCCAACCAGCGGAAGCGACTCGGGACGACCAATCAAAGCTCTCTTTCGCCCCTCCGACAGGGAACGCGCCTCCTCTTGCCTGCCATAGGCGCCTGCGCAGTCGTCTCTACGCCGCTTCGGAGGTGTGGGCAGGCCGGGCCCGTCGATTGGTTGGCGCGTTTGTTTGGGAGACCTTGGAGGCCTGGCCGGTCGCGCGGGGCCAGAACGTTAGAGCCTCCATGAGCAGGTGTTGTCCACCTGTAGCCTCGGTCGTGAGGGGACTCCTCGGCTCCGTTTTTTTCTGCCTGACACGGACTATGAGCCTCCGAGGAAATCCGGCTGCCTACCTGTCGGGGGCCGCGAGCAGCAGCAGCAGCAGGGCGGGCTGTGACGAAGGAGGCAGCGGAGGGAGCGCCTTCTTCCTGCCCTCGACCTCCTCGCCGCGGCCGAGGCTGCTGCGGCTGTCGGAGGTGCCGGGCGACGAGCCCTTCAAAGCCAACGACGCGCTGCTGCACCTGCCCCTTTCCGCCCCAGCAACCGGGCAGGCTCAGCATCACGTCGTCTACTTCCCGGGGGATGTGCAGGTAGGAGGCGGGCGCCGGAGATCCCCCCGATCCGCGAAGCCCGCCAGGAAGGAAACACGCCGCCTTGCACGCAACGCGTGGAGCTGGGTGGGAAAGGGGGCACCGCGGGTTTCATGGGTTGTCCCCGGTGGGACTCGTTTGTGGCTCAGCCGCACGTGCGAACGCAGACCGCGGGCTCGGTGAACCGCGAGTGGACGCCGCAGTCCCCGATAGGTTCGGTGGCGGCGGCTGCTGGCGCTGAGCAACGATGCGGAGGAGTAAGGCAACCCAAGAAATGGCCAATGGCCAATGGGAGTTGCTTTTGGGGTGCAGGGAGTTGGGGGTTTCTCCCTAGGACTTCTGTTCTAACGTGACTTGTGCTTTCCTGGCGAAATTCAGGTCTCGGAATTCAAACGGAAAGGGAGGGGAATTTATGAATAAGTTGGCCGGTGTTAAATCGAGGGGGGGGGTCATTAGAAGAAACCGTGGCCTCTTTTGTAGGCCACGATTGGCACTTAAAAATAAGCCATTTCACAGCTTTATGGGTATGCCGTTGTAGATGCTCCCAAAAGTGAAAATCAAGAAATATGCTGGATATATGTCAGAGGTTTGTTTGTTTTCTAATGGGAGTCTATAGATACCTTGCACAAATCTTGATTTGCATCAGGAATCTTGACTGACCTTTGAGTTGCTCTAGGTTGTTTGTATCATTTTCAAACCAAAAAGGTTTTCGCGTGGTGGCCATTATTTATTCTTATTCCATAGTAAAAGAAATGAGGCTGTTGTCTCTGTGGTGGTTGTGGGATTTTTTTTTCCTGTGGATAAATTGGTGGCAAGGAAAAAAACCATACAGTTGTTATAATTACAGCCCAGCAGAATGAATCAGGATTAAGCCAGCTGAAATAAAAAAATATACAATACCTATATTGTATACCTATAAGAAAAGGTTAAGACATAAATGGAAGATCTAAGGATCTTGATATCTATCATTGTAGAGAAATCAAAGTTTCAGCTGTCTAAGATGCAAATTGAAATAGAAGATATTTGTCCCTTTTTTAAAAAATATAATAATTCCATCTTCAATTAAACAGTGTCATCAGGATACAGATATCTTTGTAAAATAATAATTGAGATTTACAATATTCATTACATTAACATTGATTATATAGTAAAATAATAATATTAAACAGAATAATCATAATATTTGATTCTCTCTTAACATATCTTCTTTATTTTACTAATCTTTCCCTTTTGTTTCTCTGTTTCCAATTTCCATTTTTATTATCTAACCATTGATAAAATAAGTTCCATGTCATATAATATTCACTTTGTTCTTTTTCCTTAATTGCTAGCGTTAGTCTATTCATTTCTGCACATTCTAATATTTTCCTGATCACATTCTCATCTGTGGGGATTTCTTCACATTTCCAATTTTGTGCAAATACAATTCTAGCTGCAGTTAGTATATGGATAATTAGACATGCATTCCTCTTACTGTATTTTTCAGGTAAAATCCCCAACAAGAATATTTCTGGCTTTAAATCAATATGCTGCTTTATCATTTTTTCCATCCACATATGTATTTTTGTCCAATATTTTTTTGCCTTTGAGCATGTCCACCACATATAACCCAGGTATCTGGTGGCACTTTCAGCATTTAGCCAACTTATCTTTAAACATTTTTGCCAACCTTGCTGGCGCAAAATGCCATCTATAAAACATCTTGTACTAATTTGCTTTGTATGCAGTTGACATTGTTAATTTATAGTTCCTGTCCCACAGTTTCTGCCATTTGTCTAACTATTGTATAACCAAAGTTTTTTGCCCATACTGTCATTGTCTCCTTCAATTGTTCATCTTCCAATTTAACACCCAATAAGTAGCTGTACGTTTTCTTTATCAATTTTTCTTCTGTCCCTGTTAATATCTTGTCTAATTCTGTTAGTTCTTTATAAAATCCGTATAGTTTAACAACTTTCTCATATCTACAATGTATCTGCAATCTGTGAGTACCATGCCATATCAATCCCTTGATCGCTCAATTCTTGTTTAGTTTTGAGTTTCCCCTTTTCATTCAAAATATATTTGTACCTAACAATATTTTCCATGTTAATAACATTTGGTTGAATCAGTGCTTCCATTGTTGAAGGCTAAACTGGTATCCTCAAATAATGTTGTTCTCTAATTTTTTCCCACACTAACAATAATGCATTCCTAATATAATGTCTTTGAAACTAACCATGTATTTTATGTTTCCCATACCACAAGAAGGCATGCCAGCCCAAATGCAAACCGTGCACCTCCAAAGTCAACAGTCTTGAATGCCTCAATAGAATCCATTCTTTCACCCATATAAGTACCACAGCCTCGTAATACAATTCCCAATTTGGTAGCCCAAAGCCACCTCTATTCCTTGAATCCAGCATTTTTAAACTTATTCTTACTTTTTTCCCTTGCCAGATATATCTTAATATTACTTTATTGAGTTCCTCAAAGTATTTTTTTCCAATGTTATTGGAATTGTTTGAAATAGATATAATGATAATTGCAGATTTTTTCATTTCTCTAAATATATTTTAATTTGTTGCATCAGTTTATAGCAGGGTGGATAAAAATCAATGATTTTTTTTAAAAATAAAAAAAACAGATTTTTTTTATTTAAATCGGATTTTTTTTATTTAAATCAGATTTTTTATTTAAATCAGATTTTTTTGATTTTTATTGAATTTATTTTAATAAAAAACTTTTGGGGTAAAAATCTATCGTAAGATAGTTTTCTATTTAAGATACATAAATAATTTAGTTTATTCAGCATGAAATGGAGCTTAGTTATGTAGCACAAGGCTGTATATTCTGCAACACTGGGACTATTGGTGAGTCAACAGCGGGTCAAAGGAGTAGCAGAGATGACAGTTGCTCTTTAAAAATTATGATTTAAATTGAGTTGATTTAAATCAAGTCTTTTTACTAGTGATTTAAATCATGATTTAAATCGACTCGATTTAAATCAAATCCACCCTGGTTTATAGTAATTATCTTCCTTAATAGTTACACATCTTGCTGTCAGATGAGTCCATAAATATTTTACTTTCTTAGTAATCTGAATATCTATTCTCTTCATTAACTTTTTTCTGCATGTCTATAAGATTTTTTAACTAATATCTTAATTTTCTCTTTATTTATTTTCAATTGTGTCACTTCATCATATTCCTCTATTTGTTTTAATTAATTTAGGCCCTGTTTCTTGTGGATCTTCCAAAATTAAAACTAAATCATCTGCAAATGCCTGTAGTTTATATTTTTCCTTTTTTATTTCCATACCTTTATTTCTGCATCTTGTCATATTTGTGTTTAATACTTCCAGTGTCAGTATGAATAATAAAGGAGACAAGGGGCATCCTTGTCTTGTACCTTTTTTAATGTTAACCTTCTCTGTCATATCTCCATTTACCATCACCTTTGCTGTTTGTTTATAATTTATCACCTTAATCATGTTAATAAATCTCTCCCCAAAATCCGTATCTTTTAATTGTGCTGGCATAAACTGCCAGTTCACATTGTCAAATGCTTTCTGTGCTTCTAGAAAAATCAACGCCATTTGCTTCCCTGGATATGTTTTATAGTACTCCAGTGTATTTAAAATTATTCTCATATTGTCTTTAATTTGTCTCTTAGGTAGAAATCCATTTTGATCTGAATGTATGAATTGATTTAAGAACCTTTTTAGTCTTTCTACAATTATTGAGGCATATATTTTATAGTCAGGATTCAGTAAGGACATCGGTCTGTAATCTTTTATCTCTTGTAGGTCTGAATCTTCTTTCAGTATGAGAGTAATATTTGTGGTTCTTATGAAGTTTACCATAAAAGTCCTCTTGATTGTTATTTGGTGCATAAATTGCTACCAAAAGTATCTTTGTAATTCATTGTTATCTTCACCATCAAAATCCTTCCTTCCTTCATCTGTGAAAATTTGCTTAGCATTTATTGTTTCTTTTATGTAAAGAGCTACACTCTGTTCTTATGTTGTGATAGAGAGGCATATAGTTTCCCAATTTTGGAATTTATTGTGGTGTTTTTTAATATGAACCTCTTGCAGGCAAATTATATCCAACTTTAATTTTTCTAGTTTACTAAAAGTTCTTTTCTTTTTTATAGCCAAATTCAATCCATTTATATTTATTGACAGTAATTTTATTTCTTCTTCCATTTACTTATAAATAGGTTCTGTTGTTCTGGTCACTCTTATCGCTCTCTGATCTTTTCCCTTTGCTCCTTCTCTCTTCGCTATTTCCTCTAACTCTCTTTCGTCTTCTTTTTGTTGCATTTCTCTCTCTCCTATGGCTTCCTCTTGTTGTCTATCCTCTTTTTTTTTTTTTTTTTTAATTTGATTTATATGCCGCCCTTCTCCGAAGACTCAGGGCGGCTTACAATGTGCTCAGCAATTTCCTTTTTCTTCTCTTACTCTCATTTCCTCTTGTGGTCCAAAATAATGCTCATAAAATTGTTCTGCTTTTTCTATGGAATCCAGTCTATGTCTGCTCCAGCTAGGTCACCCTCTGGTATCAGCCATCTAAAATTTACTCCATTCTTAATGAGCTTTGAAATTGATATTCAGAAATTGATATTCATTTCTTATTTTTCTTACTCTTCCATTATCTCTGCCAATTTTTCTCCCTTTTCTTTCTCAATATTCTGGAATCGCAAGTAGTAATCAGCCTTATCCATCTCAAATGATATTATTGTTCTCTCATGACTTTTGTCTGCCAGGGTAAGTCTGTAATCAACCTCTTCCACTCTTTTCTCTGTTTCTTCAGCTTTCTCTTCTACTTTCTGAATGTGTTGTTCATTTTTAGCCGCTATTTGTTGAAAATTCTCTATTTTATCCTCTACTTTTCCTATTCTTTCCTTAATGTCTTCATGCATGGCCTGAATCATAGCTTTCATCTCTAATTGTATCGTATTCATTTTCTCTTGCTGCAACATAGCATCCAATGACCTTTGGCCTGCTGGACTAGATGCTGAGGATGGTGCAGATATAGTTTTCTTCATTTTGAGATGTTTTAATAAATTTAAGCCAATTATTAAAGGTAATAATTACAATACCCCAACAGCCCCAGTGTTGACCGCCCACTTCACTATCTCCTTCCAATTTCCCTTTTTACAAAGCTATTCAGGAGTCCAAATATTCAATATTACTGTATCCCTTTTTCCTTCTTTCTTCTTATTTTCAATCTCCAAATAATGTCACTGTTTTTTTATTGTAATCCCAGAGGAGCACAATTATAATCCACAAAAAAGAAGTAAAGCTGTTAATTGTAATCCAAGAGGAGAGCAAAGATATAAATTGTAATAGCATTTCCTGGCTTTACTGCTAACACTACACTGGCCAAATATCTCAGCTGCTATGTATATTCATTTCAGATGTTTTTATTACTTTTAATCATTTCATTGTTTTAAAATACTTTAGTGTTTCAATTGTAACATATTTTTTACTTGTAAGCCACCCAGAGTCATTCAGAAAAATCAGATAAGTACAGCTGGAATATCTTAAAAGGGACAGCTGTATTCATTTCAAATGCATGCATTCCTCAAATTTTATTACAATAAGTATGTTATTTCTACTCTGCATGTGACCTGCATTTTTTTCCAATAATTTCTTCTAAAATAGTGCCTCTTTATTTCATTTCAGAACTATCATGAAATTATGGCTTGCCATCCAGAGAACTTCCAGTGGAAAAAATGGTGCTTAGAAAATGTTGCAATTATTCTTGGTCATCGTTTTCCAGGCAGTTACATTTGGATTATAAAATGTTCCCGTATGCATTTGCACAAATTCAGCTGCTATGATAATTTTGTGGCAAGCAATTTATTTGGAGCACCTGAACATAGTACTGACTTTGGAGCCTTCAGACACCTTCATGCCCTCTTAGTTAATGCATTTAAACTTGCTCAAAATTTTTTGGTGTCTGAAAAAAGCATGTACGATTTCAGTGACAATACAAAGGCAGTTTCTTGTGAATTACCTACTTTTGCAACTAGTAATGGTTGCCCAGCAGCAGAGAAACACTGTGAACATGTTAGCAATTCTGCTATGAGCTTTAATGAGCCTTCTGCTATTGGTAGAGCTTCATTCACATTAATAGGATTCAGTAAAGGTTGTGTTGTCTTGAATCAATTACTTCATGAACTGAAAGAAGCAAAAAAGGACAAGGATATAGATGCTTTTATACAAAATATAAAAGCTATGTACTGGTTGGATGGCGGTCATTCTGGAGGAAGTAATACTTGGGTAACATACCCTCATGTGCTGAAAGACTTTTCACAGACTGGAATTTCAGTTAATGCTCATGTCACACCATATCAGGTATTTGATACAATGAGAACATGGATTGGAAAAGAGCACAAAAGATTTGTACAACTTCTTGAGGAGTTTGGTGCAAATATAAATAGCCAACTTCATTTTGCTGATGAAGCACCTTCTTTGGACAATCACTTCAAAGTGCATGAAGTATTTTGATATGTCAATAATGCCAGTGTCCTTTATCTGCAAAATAGATCTTAAACTTCAAGTTTAATAATGTGTTTTCTTAACACTTGGAAGAGGAAATATTATATGCTTTCTAAGATGAATGTTAATTCGTCTACTGCTTGTAACTGAAGTCACGAGAAGGTTACAGCTTTTTGATCTGAACAAGGCAGTATTATCCATGAGGAAAACCAATTTAAGAGCAAAAAGAAAAAAAAAACCTTAATTCAGATTAATGTTATAGGAAAGGTTTGTGTAATTGTCTAGAATTATAATGTGCAAAACTTTCAAGCCTAGATATAAAAAGATCATCTTCAAATTCTTCTAATTTGATGAAATTGAAGTTTTGTTTTTGAATAAAATTTTGTTATTTAGATGGGATAATAATATCAAAGCTACTCTAAACATTATTTAGTACTTTAGCACAAGCAATGCAGCAAATTGATTATTTTGACAGTATTTATCTTTATTGCAATAAGTATATATTAACCTTGGGAATAAGGTGAATAACTACTGTACTGTTGTGCCAGAGATGCCCTGCAGTTTCTAACCATTGCAAGCATCTACAGATGTTGTATTTTTTGTTTTCCTTTCAGGGGGTGGGCATTGGAAGAGAATTGAACAACTTTGTGTGTGTGAGACCAAAAATGTTCACTCTTACACGGTTCAACATTCCGTATTAATGGTGAAGCTTAACTAATGCTCAATACAATTTTGAGCTTTTGTAACTTGAGACTGTTAGAACTTTTATAACAACTGTAATTATTACTTTGCTGAATATAAAGCCATGTAATTACATTATATTAATACTGTAAGTTTTGGAAAAATGATAGTAGCATATAGAGTTATTATTTTAACACAGGAACATCAAGCAGCATTCTCTATAAAATGGCAACAATGTGAGAGAAGGATCACCACAGTGTAAAACATTTTGATGTTTCTGTTAGTTAAAAATTAAAGTATTAATCCATCAGTGCAATTGATATTTTTATACATTGTTTGAAAGCTAATTACGAAAAACCACACTACTACCTGAAAATGGAATTTGGAGAATATAGAATTCATCTGAATTTTAAAGGATTTGTGACACAATAGGGTCCCTTAAAACAGAATTCCCCAACCTTCCCACCTTTGCGGCCCTGGGGAGGGAGAGGGGATGGTTCTGCACAGATGTGGTGCATGCACACGCATTTGCCTACTGCTTGTGCAAATGGGGATGTGCACGCACTCGCCCATCACTTCCGCCACCTAGTTCTGAACACCCAGTTCTCAAGGCTCGATAATGGACCGTGGCCCAGAAGTTGGGGACCTCTGCCTTAAAACTTTGATGAACAAAATATTGTTGAAAGATAATCTAAAATTATTGCTAAAAAAGCTTACATTAAAAGTCAAAGGTTGTGTATAAATTGTTTTTGTTATAGCAGAAACGGTTTGATTATCTAATTTTCACAGAATATCCTACTAACTACATTTCTCCATATTATTCCATTCTGTGTTTTGCAAGGACGACACCTTTCAAGAGTAAGTTTTTAAAATGGGATAGAAAGTTAAGGTAGAGGAATCGATACAAATGGAGATGCTTATATGCAAGAAAGCAAGCACTGCCTGCTTATTATCCAGTGTATAAGCCACATAGCTTTTGAGCACGAATAAGCTATAAAATTATTGCTTGGTTATAATGATGGGAATTTAATGATCTCTAAGCCCTCTGCAGATTTGAATATCATGAGAACTGTGAGAATAAGAAAGTTGTGTTTTGTTAGCAGCAATCCTTTAGCATAGACTTTGATGCTATCTCATACTATGTAAGATGATGCAGGTTTATCACATCAGTATAAACGTGAAATGGCTATTTGTCCTGATCCAATAATTCACTGTAGGCACTTGAAATATTGTACACTGATCCCTTTTTATTTATTCCCTTCACTTCAGCATTTCCAAAGGGATAGGCGCATGGAAGAGGGAAAGCCAGGATGTTAAGTAGGTCAAATCTCATGTTGTTTGTGCAGCCAAACTGCAGGGATTTTTACTTTTCATACCTTCCAAAGAGTTTTTTGTTATTGTTGCACTTTGAAATATATTCTGAAGCAAAGTTTACTTCTTAGTTCATGTTTTAAAAATAATAAAATGCTGGTAATTTAGTCATAGCCAAATTAATAGTCTACAACCAAAATATCCAGCTTTTAATAAGACACTATTCACATATTGCTTCACAATAGAAGTTAAAAGATGCCAGAAGAGGTGAGTCTTACAGTATTCTGGAGAAAATTAATTCCATCTACAATTAGGATATTATATCTATTTACTGAAATGATGTCTAACAGCCAAGTGAGTTCTTCTGTTTCCCAAATTTGCTCTTGAGGATTGGGAAAGATTTGGGGCTGCAGTAAGAGGGAAATAGTAAATTGCATGCCTTCACTACAGGTCATTAACTCCGTCACAATATAAAGATATATTGAATTTTCTGTGCCAATAAATATTTTCAATGTGACATACTTTCTTTACCTTTGAAAGCTCATTTTATAAATAAGCTTTGTGTTTTTCTTAAAGTAGATACTGACATAAATTGAACTTTTATTTTCATGAATGGAGCTAAGATACTTTTGTTTATGTAGAGAATTGGAAGACTATTTGTTAAGAAAATTGAAAGTAGTATCGTATTAAAGATAAGCTTTTTTAAAAAATACATTCAGTTCAATAAAATGTTTTGATGTTTACTAAAATGCAGAGTACATTGTTCAGTACTAATCTTTTGAGTAGATGTAATTTAGAGATTTATTTTTAAACACTAAATTAGTTTTCTAAGCATGAATTTTCCAGTTACACATTTTGCTTCCAATCAGTAGCTTAGATTGAACTGATACTTTACTGGACATATCTGTCGGAGAGAGGCTGTCCTGGCCAGGAGGAAGGGTCAAGTATCTGGAATCATTCAGGATCAGTCTGGAATTGTTACACAGACACAAAGGACAAGGCAACTAACAAAAATGAAATGTTTTGCACAAATTACACCAGTGACCATCCTATTAACTGGTTCACAAGAGAGAGTTTAATATATGTTTCTAAAACAAGTATTCAAAAATGGTTTTTTTATTCATAGTTACTGCTGTAAGTTTTTTCTTGGATGTGTAATGCCATTCTCCTACCATAGAAGTCTCTGTATTCCTCAGGAAGTTCTTCCAGAGTTTTTAGTGCTCTATCCAAAATCTGTATTGCTCTTGAGGCTGAAGTGAGATCTTTGTTTCCATACGTATCTGTTTTATCATAGTATTCAGAAGGAAGCTGCTTCCAGAAAACATTGACTCCAACTCCAAATTCCTCAGAAGTCACATTATGGAACCACAAGGCTGGGGGAAAGGGGGGGGTGGAATTGTGAAATATATTTTACACATGTATTGAAAAAATATTTAATTTCAAGTTATCAACCAGTAACTGTTTTACAATGATAGCTTTACAGGAAGATGTTTCAATTTGCAAACATATTAACTCTAAATACACCATGTTTCTATAAACTGAAGACTTGAAAATTGTTCTGAAAATATATTCGGGACTATAGATTCTTTAGGCTAAATTAGACGACTAAATCTGAAATGAAATTTGTAGTAGTGAACTGTACAGGGAGAAGACTACTAACCACAAATCCTAGTGAATGAAGTTGAAGCCATTTTTTGCTGATTCTTCAGCTACACATCCGAAACTTCGGAAAGTCCCTTGTAATCCTTGATTTATGACCGGTCATTTAACTACTATTCACAATCATGACAGCCTCAGAATGGATCTTTGAAGACTCTAAGGCATTTCCCATTTCACCTAACAAACTAATTTAGATTTAAGTGGTATCCAGAGTACAGCTTCAAAAATCTACTCCTAACGTGATTTTGTCTTCCCTTTTCTTTCCTGCCTCATATATGCTTGCCAGTTTGAGGTCTAAAGAGATTTATTCTTCTAAGGATACATATCTAGTAACTATAAAATCATTATTAGCTGTACTAGATGTGCAAATCTCATTGGTGTTCAAACTATTCAGATACGGATTCCTTGAATTTTGAAAGAATTAAAAATCAACCTGTTAATGATGGTTATGCCAAGAGCTTTCAAATTAGCAGATAGCTATTATGACCTATTATTTTTTATGTTTGAGGCACTTTATTCTAATTCAAAGAGCATTCCTCTAAATTATAACGATCATTACTCCACCCTGATTAAATCTAAATTTGATAAGAAAAAGGTTACATCTGCTCTCCAAACGACCACCGACCAAGCCAGCTAGTACCCAAGCCAGTGTGCTAAAAAAGGCTTCGGATGAAAGAACAGTCATATAGGCTTGGAAGTAGCCCAAATTCTCACATCCGCAAAATTTTAATAAGTAAAATGGACGTAATAAATTGTTGCACTCTCTTTTGGCTCTAACCCAATCATATAATGGGTCCAACATCAATTTAAACGTGCAGAGTAAAAATGAGGAGCATTTCTTCAGACTTACACATTTATTAAAAGGCATAAGCTATCGCCTCATGATTTTGGCTACTATAGATCAAACAGCTTTCCTCTTACAGTATGCAGAATAGTAAAACTTGTAAGATGAAGCATATGGTTCAACCTATCCATACAAAAACTGCTATTATTCTCTATTGAAAGCCCAAAGGGAATCTTCCTGCAATCTGAGTGATCTTCCAGTTGTATACAAGATGAAATGTTGCCTCTTGGACATTTAATCTTATACTAGATTATGACACAAGTCTCACCCTCATTATGCACAGAATGCTAAAAGCAGGGGACCTTATTCCTAAATAAATGAGTATATTAACTTTGACTATCATATATTATATTACTACATTCATTTTTAATATATTAATGCAGTCTCGTAAATGTAATCAGATACATGGCCTACATCTCTTGCATCTACTAATATTTCAATATTGCTTGTTTTTTCCCCAATTTCTACTGCATTTTCTTATGTTAGAATCAACTTGCTTGTAAGAGGGAGTTCTTGGAGTTAGAAGGACATCATGATTTGAGATATGGGTGGCATATTTATGTAATGACAAATTTAAGATTAATAGAAATTTTCAAAATCACTTTGTTAGGTATGCCATATTGAAGGTTTGGAATAATAAATATAACTCAAGATTATGTCCAAAACTACTTTTGGTTGCTACCCCAAGGTTTTCATAGAAAAGAAATGATAGCCACACAACTGCAGTAATTCACTTAACTATGGCAAAAAAGGATGTAAAATGGGGCAAAAATCACCTATCTTGCTTAGGAATGGAAATTTTGCCCTCAATTATGCTCTTTGGTTGAGGACTACTGTATAGATTACCACAATGTAATAATGGATGGTAAAATTAATAGATGGTTGAGATGGGGAAATTAGCTACTTTGATTAAAGAAAATATTTTTATAGCTTTGCTTCTATATGAAAACCACTCAGACTTTTTGCTTGAAACTGAAAAAAAAATGTTATATTAATTTGATGATTTGACATAATTGTTTAAGACAATTCCACTGTATATTATTAAATTTTAGATCAAAAGGTTAATGTTTTTATATTAGTAACTGTATCAAGGAAAGTTGGAAGCTATAGTTTTCTTATTTTTCCCCCCTCTTTCCTTATTGTCTTGCACTTTCCCCCTCCTGAAGTATATTGAAAAAGAATTAACTTGCTTATTATAGATACCATAATTGAATTTTACATCTGATATAGATTAAGGCCATGTAATATTGTGCTGTTCAGAATTTAAAAGCCACATTTATTTCACCAGTGACTTATTAAAAAAATACAATTTATACCATTTAAAAATTAGAGTTTTTATTAATTAGAGTTTGTATTAAGTATTTGGTTTCATAGGTTCTCACAGATAAGAATGGAAGTATGTTTACTTATTTTTTGGACTCTGGCTTAGCATGATGTCCGAATAGGAAGACATAGTAAGGACAAAAACGATGTCAAAAGCCATGGTTTTACCATGATATATGAGTCAGATCACTATAATTCATGGCTGAGATAGAATTGCCTTTTCACTGTGTTTTAAATGCAATTTGCTGCAAATAAACATACAGTTATAAAAAACAGTCTGGGACTGACTGACTAAATTCTAAGTTGAATAAGGCCAAAGAGTAGACAGTCTTCTACAGTCCTTTTAAAAAAAAAAAAAGTAGCTGAATTTGTTGTTGGTTTTCTTACCAGGAATGAATAAGACATCTCCTGCTTCCAGCTGACATTCATAACGTCTAGCCTTGATAAAGAGAGGATATTTCTTCATATTTGGTTTATCCACATCTAGTACTTCAGACTTTGTGCCTAATGAAGATTTCAATGAACAATCAATGACAATGCTTCTATTAAACTGTATTATTCTTAATGCTACCAGCATAATATTTACACCTCTCATTTGGGAGTAAAACATCCAGGAAAGACTGTTTGTGTGTGTGTTTATAAACACACATAGAATGCTATGTGCCTCAAGTTGATTGCTGGGCTACTAAAATGATGGTTTTCCATTTCTCTAGTTCTTTTAAGCTATCAAATGGTACTAAACCAATTTTAACTACAGTATGGCGCAGTTTAAGTCTAAGTCTTTATTAGACCAAATGGGACATCCTTTCTCTGCAATCAGAAGGAACACTACTGTACTGTTTAACTGATCAAAGATATTAATCACACTATTTCATTCCAGAGGAGCTATATTCAGTGAATGCCAACTTTGGAAATATATATGGTTCAAGCAAATATCAAATATCAAATCTTTTCTTCAGTCTCATCTAGAATGCAGATGGTACAAAACAACTGTCAACTGATCTTTAGCTATTTGCATCTCATTAGCAACTGCCTACTCTAGTTAGCTATTTTAGTGAGTGAAAGGGGCTGTGTTGTTTTATATTTTTTTCCTTTTCCTTTTGTGTTTATTTAAAGTTTATAGACAACATCACAGAATGGCTTTATTTAAAAATACAAGTAAGCCTTAAGTTACAACTGTAATGAAGCCTGCCCATTACAGTTGGAAGTCAGGACAGCCATTAAGTGAAGCACCTAATTTTTTGACCCTCCATTTCCGCTTTCCCCAATGGAAATGTGCAGGTCATTAAATGAAGCATGGGGTGCCTCAGAGTAGAAGAGATCTTGGCAGGGTGGATAAAAATCTATGTTGTTTTTTTTTTAAAAAAAAATTAAAAATCAGATTTTTAAAAAATTTAAATCAGATTTTTTTATATTTTTATCAAATTTATTTTAATAAAATGCTTTTGGAATAAAAATCTACCTAAAGATACTTTTCTATTTAAGAAACATTAATAATTTAGTTTATTCAGCATGAAATGGAGCTTTGTTATGTAGCATGAGGCTGTATATTCTGCAATATTGTGACTGTCGGTGAGTCAACAGCAGGTCAGAGGAGGAGCTGCTGCGGAACTGAGATGACAGTTGCTCCTTAAAACTTATGATTTAAATCGAGTTGATTTAAATCAAATCCACCCTGGATCTTGGTAATAGTAAAAGTTCCAGTAATTTAATGTCTGTTTACAAAGTTATCGTGTGTGTACCTTGGTCAAAAATCTAGGTTATCCTGGAGGATAAAAAAAAGGATATCCAAAATTATGAAAAACTTTAAAGTATACAAATGAGAAAAATGACAAACAGATTCAGGGAAAGAGACTCAATAAAGGATTATTAAAAATACACAACAAATAAAAGCAACAGAATACTCAACAGAATTTTGAATCA